GTGATATGTAAATCAGTAAATTGACTTAAGGGTGAAATATTTACTGGGTGCTTATTCCATTTCAATTCGGTCGGAAGGAAGGTAAGCTGACAATCGTAGTCTGCAGTCTAGTAGTTCACTTTGCATATTAGATCTACTCCGTGCTTTGGAAGGCACGTTAAGCAGTTTGCCCCGATTGCATCTGCAGTTGTAAATACCCTCCAATCCGGAGTGGACGCATTGTGGGTACATTAATAGGCTGGTGATTATTAAGAAGTGTTTTTTGCCAACTCTGATTCCCACACTGCTAAGTTTTAATCAAACTCAAAAATTGTATATTTTTTTATTTGAGAACCCCCTAACCGAGACTCATTAAATACTATTATACGTACGACACAGTAAGGATAGCAAACCTTTTTTAAATTTCCTCATTTGACCCCCGAAAATAACCCTTATTTATGATAAACAAATTTAATTACTTTGTATACCTGTGTTTAGGTCAAGGGATTACAAATTTTACAAGATTTGGTCCAGGGGCTCTATTTTTGAATCATTCGTCTCGCGTCGAGCGTTCGTTTTCTACTATCACTCGCATACAACGTTCGCTAAGCGACGAGTGGTTCATACCATTCGTTGCAGTCGAGCGATTTAGAAATGGCGAATTTGTTAAGTCGAACGAAAATCAGTAGAAAACGAGCGCTCGACGCGAGACGAATGATTCAAAAATAGAGCCCCAGTAGATTCCGGTAAAAAGGCTTTTTGTACGGAACTTTAATAAAGCCAATTTCATATTTGACGGAGAATCTAGATTAGATCTATTAATGTCATGTGTAACGTTAACATCTACCTAGGAAAATTGGATACTTTTTTTTGCCTTAATGTTCTACTCTTAAAACTTGTCTCCTTTATTTTGTAGTTGTGTGGACACCCTATTAGAAAGAGAGGGGGGACCTAAGGAATGAAATAGAAAACATTCAAGGTCAAATTTTTATGCTTCAAGTAGGTATGGAGGAGCTTGGTCTCCATAAGCCAATTTATTGGTTGTTCGTAACTTCAATTGACTCGATTCATCCGAATTCGATGATTCGAAAAGAGCAGCGCAATATTTCCATATGTGCCTTCCCAGGCTTAAGGTAAAAATTTACTGCATTCAGCATATTAATAGAAGTTTAACCCTCAGATTCGACTAGCTCCATCAATAATTTTCTTCTATAGTGACCCTTGAGGCTTTTAATCATACTTTGGTCCATTGGCTTTAAGACACTAGTCGTATTTAGAGGAAGAAATGCCAACTCTATGTTTTGAAGATTTGATATAAACGGGTGGGCGGGGCAATTGTCAACAAGAAGTCAAATTTTTCGTCCCTTTAATTCTGCATCCCACTTCCGCACTTCTTCAAAAAGTTGACTGGTCATCCAAACAGATTTATAAGCTTTATATGTCACTGGCAATTTTTTAATATTCTTATAATAGCGCGGATTTTTCGATTTGCCTATTATCATTAGCTTTTTTTGCTGTAATCCATGTTAGCAGCCACTAACACCGTAATACGTTCCTTGGAAAGCTTTCCTCCTACACACTTTTCCCCTTTAAATTTATAGAAAATTCCTGCTATTTCAGCATTGAAAATGTCATTTGGGGCGTATTTTTCTGTGTATTTTGACCAGACTTTATTAATCCAATCATGAGTCACATTCATATCATAACTTCGTGCTTCGCCAGTTAATTGTTTTGTTCTAAGTATTTAATTGTGTTACAATCAATTAAAAAAGACACGCCTGTATAGCATGCGTCACATTTATTTATTAGAAACTCAACAGCTTGTTCGACATGTTGGAAAATAATTAATTTAAAGCAACTTAAAAAGGTTGTTTACCCCTGCAACTTTTGAATTCACACAATATCCAAAAGCTAACACAACAGGCTCGATCTATATGCAAAATTATGATAATTTTGTTCTAGGTAGACCCTTCCAAAACTTAATTTGAGGAAGTTCTTCTTCTTTTTTAATTAATGGTTTATCTGCGCATTTCGCACAATTCTGCCAATGTCAAGTAAATAAATTAATTTTTACATGTAAAATGAAAATGGAATGAATTAAAGATGGTGATGATCTTTGAGGAAGTTACAATCGATTCACAACGACAGGCGTGTCATTAGCCACAAGTAAAAGAAAATGATGACACTCCTGTCGTGTCATCAGCAACGTCTTAAATGTCAAAGTTATTTGTTCAGACCACAGAAATCACAATCGTTTTTTATAGAATACTTAAGGAAAGTTTAAAATAAATAATTCATAAATTACCTACACGTGTTAGGTACTTTCCTATTTTATATATTACATAGGTATTATATAGAATAACGGATTATATAATTACCGTTACCGGTAACAAATGCATGTTTCTTCTCATCTTCGTTAATAGCGGACTGATTTGTATTACATTTTTTTTTTTTAGATCAAAATCTGCCGCATTTTTTTTTTATATTTCTTTATAAATGGTAACCTTTGGCGTTGGAGTGATAAAATCTGCGTATCGCGAATAACCAAATACCCCCAATAACTGCTGTTCCCAAATGAACTAGAGAAATTTACATTTATGTTGAAATGTATGTTTATTTGTCGAGCAACACTCAACTGTGATGTCACTGATTTATCTTTTGTTTCATGTGGCCACGGTGTCCCGTCGTTTAATAGATTGTCGGTCTACGGAGTGAAGTCAAAGTGCAATCATATTTGTCATCAGTGTTGTCGCTAATCATATATTGATTTGCCGTATACCTAGACAATACCTATACAAGGAATAATTACATTCAGAGAAAACAAAGCCAGGAAACAATGAAAACCTACTCCCAGTTGGGAGTAGATATTTCACAATTTTTTTTACTCGTGAAGCGCGGGGAAGTTGTTTGAGGGTGCAAATCATCCCCAGCATGCTACTCTGTTTAAAAACATTAATTGATGCTAATAATGATTTAATTGTGTAGCTGTATGGGTTCTAGCCCAAATGGCAATTTTAACTTGGCAACTTTAAATCAAACTTGCTAGTTTCAGGGTGACAATCTTGCACTACTTTTGATACGGTAGTAATGATAATTTTCCTAGGTACTGACTCGACTTGAATAATTCCAAAATGATTGCGATAGACTTTTAAATTAGAAAATTAGAAATAGGGATGATGACTGGGTTAAGAATCAAAGAAAATCAAACTTGCCCCAAGTATCATTACTACCGTATCAAAGGTAGTGCAAGTTTGTCACCCTGAAACTAGAAAGTTTGATTTAAACTTGCTGCAACTTGCCATGTTATCTGGGAGGTTCATTCGGCAAATGACGAAATTTAAACAGTGTTTATGGCGGGAATACATTTCTAAGACGTGTCGTGTTGTATTCTTAATACAAAATGATTAAAAAATCCACTTGGTCCCTGGCACCCTGAGATGTTGTGTTTGGCGCGCGTGCAGCAGGTGGATATTGGTTTTATATTTAATATGGTAAGAGAGCCATTTGTATGTTATGTTGTGGGAGAAATTATTCATAGATAAGAAACAACACACACGCACGAGAGCAACAACAGCGACACCTAAATATGTTTTCACCTTTATTGGTGCGGCTCGATAAAACAACTCGTAGAGTTTATGGCGCATACCTATATGAAACGCATGGTGTTCATTTGTTGAATTGGATGTTTATTTAATAAAGTGAGTATTGTATGTTTATTTAATAAAATAAATAAGATCCTTAATAAAGCGAAGATAAAGGGCACCTGAAAGCAGATATACCTATCATGCCCATAATGTTGAACAGCAGTCACCTTTTTCCAGTAAACTTATTGAACTTTTGGCTCAGAACGCAGCTCAAAACTAAATAAACATTTATGTATATTGAAAACAGAAAAATACCTATAGTGATCTGTTCTGCTTATACAGCCATATATTCAGGATGAATAAATTCTTTTGTCTTTAAAAACTAAAAAAACAACAAAAACGTAAATGAAACTTTGTTAATATTTTGTAGGCAAACAAACATTCATAATAGGGTATTTGACACTATCGAAAATAAGTTGCATTTTGTGGTCATCCTGATAGATAATAATCTAATAAAGCTTATTTCTTAACATCGTCGTCGTCACAACCAATCACGATTCTGTTTACTGGCCTGTGACGTCATCAGCTGTCATGTCAAAGTAGTGATAGAAAGATACATAAAATATCGATGCCTGTAGGTATCGAGTACTTTATAGTAATTTACTGATAACAGAATACTTTGCCGCTTCTGCTGATAAGAACTGCCAAAAAGAAATACAGAAAGAAATAATTATTTACTAAGCTTTTTAAAAAATCCAAGAAATAAGGAAAACGCCAGCAATAAAAAAAAGAGCAACTTACATGTTTTTCTCATTTCTCGAACTTTAATATAATAATTCAAAATTACAAAGTCGATTTTGATGATATATACTGTTCTCCAAGTTAAAAACTAATAAAAAAAAATCATCGGGATTTGTCTAATTATCAAGTGCCATTCATTTAATGGACAGACATACTACATGCATGTATAAAAAAAAGTACATTATTTTTCGTACAAATGTCTCATCCATCTGTAGGTTGACAAGCTGTAAAGTGCGAGCCCTGTCAACAAATATAAATAAGTCTTTTCACGCGATTTTGGCTATTTAAATTTTAACAATTATTTTCACCAAAAATAGAAAAGATTCCAATGAAATATAATGACAGTGTGTTTATTATGTAGCAAACAACGATTTAAAATAGTTTTCAGAAATGTGCCAAATACCCTATTGTTAATGTGTAAATACTGTTTTGCTGGAAAATATAGAGAATCACTTAACTAAATCAGTTTCTAGTGAGTGAATAGAGAAAACTATGCAATTATCTTCTATGTCGTGTGTACAAGGTAAAAAAAGGAAAAAAATGGTTTATTCCACTCATTCAGACAAATCTACAGGCTGAATAGATCCTTTTGTCTTTAAAATTAAAAAAAAAAAACTAAAAATGTAAACAAGAGCTTTTTTTTGTATTGTTTAAGATTAGTTCCTTCGCCTGTAATTTGTGTATATAATTGTTATTTATAAATACTGTTGTGCTGGAAAATATAAAAATCATACAAATAAGTCGGTTTATAGTGAGTAAACAGAGAAAACTATGCAATTATCTATGTCGTGTGTAAAAGGTAGATACTTGTTTTCTTTTAGTCTTTGAAATCAATGCTTTAATAATGTGGCAGAGAACTTTTATGACTATCCAAAAAGCCTACAGACCGATTCATCGGGCACCGATAATATATATTGCATTATTACATACTAACACCTACCATTGGAAGTATTACGAAATAGTAAATCAAGATATAACCTCGAAACTTTCATTAATTGCTTCAAGAAAAATTCATTACAGAAAGAAAATCACTGAAGAAAAGAAGGAAACTAAAGATGTCTATAATTCATTTACATATAGAACACATACTTGTGGTGAATTGAGACCAGATCATGTTGGCAAGAATGTAGTTTTATGTGGTTGGGTTCAGTATCAAAGATTATCAAAGTTTTTACTTTTACGAGATGCTTACGGCATAACCCAATGTGTTGTTACAGAAAATAATAACCTTTCTGACATACCTTTGGAAACAGTGGTAAAAATAAAAGGCATTGTAGTCTCGAGACCGAAGGATATGTTCAATCCTAAAATGCCTACTGGACAGATTGAAGTAGTTATTGAAGATTTACAAATATTGAATACAGTTCATAAATTACCATTTAACTTGAGAGATTATCAGAAACCTAAGGAGCAGTTGAGATTGCAACATCGTTACATTGACTTGCGTTTTCCAGAGATGCAGAATATTTTAAGAACAAGATCACATATGCTTCATTGCATGAGAAGGTTTCTCATTGAAGATTATGGTTTTGTTGAAGTGGAAACACCAACATTATTCTGTCGTACTCCTGGTGGTGCGAGAGAGTTTGTTGTTCCGACACATTATTCTGGTCTATTTTATTCTTTAGTGCAAAGTCCACAACAGTTTAAACAGATGTTGATGGTTGGTGGTGTCGACAGATACTTCCAAGTTGCCAGATGCTATAGAGATGAGACCACCAGACCAGACAGGCAACCGGAATTCACACAGTTAGATATTGAACTTTCATTCACAAACTTAGATGGAGTACTGGATTTGATTGAGCAGTTGTTGTATCATACATTCATTGAAGATCTCCTAAAACCACCTTTTAGGAGAATGACATACAAATATGCTTTAGAACATTATGGGACTGATAAACCTAACATTACTTATGATTTACAGTTTCAAAGTATCAAACATCTATTTAGTAATAAATCAACAGATGTTAATTTTGGAGCATATGCATTGCCATACACTAGTCTATTAGGTAAACTTACATCCAAATATAAAGAAAGCATCAGGGAAATGGCAAAGAGATATGGTGTGGAAGTGGTTTTAAATGAAAATGCAAATAAAGAATTTGGTAATGATTTTATAAGCAAGTTAAATCTGGACCAGGAATCCTCAGTGATTGTTTCCATTGGAAATAATGAAAATGCATGCTTATGTTTAGGAGAGATCAGAGAGATGATAGCTTCCCTGTTAAAGATAAAAAATTTATTAAAAACACAAAATGAAATCCAACCATTGTGGATTGTTGATTTTCCATTGTTTGTAAATGGTGAAAATGGTTTAGAAAGTTGTCATCATCCTTTTACTGCTCCGCATCCTGAAGATATAGAATTATTAGACAGTGAGCCTTACAAAGTGAGGTCATTGGCTTATGACATAGTCATAAATGGATGGGAAGTTGGTGGAGGATCCGTCCGTGTTCACGATGTAAATCTACAGAAAAAAATACTTGAGATGTTGCATGTGAAACCTGATACTTTATCACACTTCTTAAATGCTTTGAAAAGTGGATGCCCCCCTCATGCTGGCATAGCTTTAGGTATTGATAGATTGATAACTATAGCTTGTAAAACAGAGTCTATTAGGGATGTTATAGCATTTCCTAAATCACATGAAGGTAAAGATCCTTTGTCTGGTGCTCCAAATGCAATAAGTGAAGAAGACAAAAAATATTATCATTTGCATTCTTAATTTTTATAGGTTGATTAAATAGAATAAAAATGAGAAATTCCTATGTTGTTTGTTTTTAGTTGATTCAGAGTAGCAACAGTTCAGCCAACAGCAAAAGAAGAGGGAATTTAATGTACTTTAAACCTGTTTGATTTTGCTTTTTTTTGTTACTTTTTATTGTAGTCTACATTCCCCCATTTTATTAAAAACTCTGTCCCATTTTAATTAAATAAACAATGGTTACTTTAAGGTGATCTAATTTCAAATGAGATAAATAAAGAGTATGGACTTATAAGAAAAGAGTCATTTATTAAATATAACATTAAAAAAGTATTTTTTGTTAATATGTGACTGGCATTAGCATAATATTAATGTTGTGTACCACATGATAATTATAGAGTACAATAGTCTATGTTAGAGTACGGTTAGCTTGAAAACCCTATGTGAGTGAAGGATCTGGGCTTCAACTCTAAGGGCTCCGGAACTTTAAAATATTTTAATACAATTAATAGTTTTGCATAACTTTGTTAGTTAAATACATTCTTTGGCATTCTGGTGCGTCTCGCATTTGTGGACATTGACATATCGGTATACAGGGTGATCCATCTTCTTCACGCAAGTAGCCAGGCTTACATCTGTACCGGAGTTTCTCGGGTTCGTTGCTGTTACATTTGAAAAATGCTACGGTGGATATACATAGATCTGGGGGGCAACTTCTGCTGCACGTGTACACTTCATTAGGGTCACGGCCTCGTACGTCTGGAACGATTCAAATGTTTATAAATAAAAAAAATATATAGGTATACACACTTCGGAGAACCTCCTTTTGATTTTAAAGTCTGTTGAAAATGTCAAATCACAGCAGGTAAGGTAACACTTTAGTTTCATCACAATATGACAGATTTTCTCAGTCGATTTTAAACTTAAAAAACCGACACCTTAAAAGCTTGATATCAAGCTTGATATCCGTCAAGTAGATTATTATGGAACATAAAACACTTGTTTTTTTATTTTTTGCGCGATCATAATGAATTACGGCGATACATTAAGTTGAAATGTCGCATGACGTCACGATTTTGTACATTTACTACAAAACTGTGATGGAGCGAGCCCCCACTCCTCAACTTGAATGCCTAAAATAACTTAGTCATTTCTTGTTTAAATTGAAGCAAAAAAAAGCTAATATTTTTCTGTATATCTGGCTGACGGACTAGTTTTTTTACTCAGTCGTCGTCCCTATTTAATATTAACAGATTAAAGTGATTTAAACCTTACTTAGTTGATTTTTAAGATCAAAATTGATAGCACTTATTTATGTGTACAATCAAAAGGGACATCTGGTTATATAAAACTGTCAATTCTGTTACTTACTGCATTGGTTAACGGGTATACAGTTGTTTGATGCGTCTCTGGCATAGCCATCATCACAGTAACACCTTTCATTGCATTGAATGTTTTTAATGGGGCAATTTGTGCGGTTCTGAGAGTATATGTTTATGCATTCGTTGTCGCATGCACTATTACAAGAGTAAAATTCATTTGGCTTCTGACATCTATCTGAAAAAAAGATAGTGGAAAGGATCATAATAATTACACAGGTTTTGCATTAATTATATTTTTGTATTTTGTCTACCGAAACTTTGCTTTTTATTCATTAAAATCATATTTTAAGAAAATATGTAGTTCTTATATTTTCCGAACTAGAATAGCCAACATTTACGGGTCACGCAAATGCAATGTGTAGCCCAGTCTTACGGTGCTATTGTCCGTGGTATTCAAAAGTACAAAGGAAGACAAGTTTCAGTGTGTTCATAGTAGTATACATAGTTGTTGTCGGAACCGGATCCTTGACCCCCTCCTCCCAGAGGGTACTTGCAGCGGGTTTTACAAGATAGATCGACCTCGCTTAAGCTTATCGTTTTCAGGACGGGACGGAGAGTCCTAGTTGTCCCCTACATTAAAAAAGTAAAATACATAGAAGTCTGCTTACCACATTGTTCTCCTGTAATGCATTCTCCAATAGCATTCCTGTAGTATCCATCTGCGCAAACGCATTTCCTTGTGCACGGACATGGGTCATTTAGGCATGAGATCATAATGCCACGATTTCTGCATGTTTTCTCTGGGGGACATTTTTTAGCGCAGGTTTCCACTTCGTTCGGTCCACAGTACAATGGCTTGGGTTCTGAAATGTTGACAAAGTTTATTGTTATATTTCATAATTTCTTGGAAAATGTTCTGTTTGTTAATTTTAATGCTTACGGGTCATAAAAAAACTTTACGGTGGGCGTCTACCGTCTATCCTGTGTTTTACATGACAAAAAAAATGTTTTGTTTCTAAAGAGAAACGTATACCTATGTTTTCTCATTTATTACTATCTAGAGCTTATTTGTACAAAATCAATAATTGATTTGATACTTTTATTTTATTTCCTCTTCGATCTTCCATTCTGTATAATTTTAAATTAAATATGAGCAAATACTAAAAAAGCACTTCGCTAGATGGCGACTCTAGCAAAAGTTGATTTTTGCAGGAAACGAATGGACCATAAATAGTAACTTCCGTTTCTTTTAACTAACATATAAAAAAACTGAAATTTGCAAAGTTCGATACTTAGTTATCAATACAAATACGAAAAAGTACAAATAGAATACGAGTTGTTAATTGAGTTTTGAAAATTATTATACTTTTATATATGAAAGAGAACTGGAAGGGTTGTCACGGAAAAATCAAGAAAGTACCGTAGCGATATCTTATTTGATTTCGGGAACCAATTTTTTTTTTAATACTTCTTGATTTTATGCTTGTTGTCACGTGACCGCAAAGAGAGCGTGACTTCACTGATAATATAAGTACTTGGAGATATTTTTGTTTTATGCAAGAATTATATTCATTTTAAAATAATAAATCTGCCCATTCATCGCTGGTATAAATAATGTACAAATATAAATTACTTAAATTGATGCTCTTTTTTTTTTTTTTTTTAATAGCTTTTGAGTAAGCTTTTGTAGGTGAAGCAAATTATTCAATAATATGTTTTGGTATTTACCTCATGTAAAGTGACATTTGTGTTTAACACACTAAGAAAAAAACAAAAAAAAAAATAGAACCGAATAAGAACAAATTTATAAAAGTGAAAAATAATACTTATCTCAAAAACGATTTATTAAAGTCGAGCGGAGGTTTTCTGTAGGTTATTAATTTTTTTTTAAATTTATTTACAGTTCGAGAAAAATTATTTAACATGGTAATTAAACTAAGCCATGAAGAGAAACCAAGAAGGTTTGTACACATGTGCTAGGAATAAAATTATATAAAACATGCATTCAAAACATATCGGCAACAACTTAATTAACATATTATTAAAAACAGCAATTTAAACATTTAAGTAATAACACGCACTTGGCACAGTATTTAGTCACCAAGCACATCTAAGTAATAAACTTTTATTAATTTCTTTAAGTTGTTAGGATGTATAAGCTGTATTAAATCCGGGGGTAGTTCGTTAATTATTCGTGGTACAATGTAACTGGCCGTCCTTAATTAAATGATAGGCCTACTTCAATAGCATTTTCTAGAATAAGTCGCTTATGAGATAAATATTAACTTTTCACTTTTTAAAGATTGAAGTCGGTTCTATTTAAAAAAAAGTTTTTATTTCATACTTTTTAGTGATATTTACATTTTTATCCATTAGGTAACGCTAAAAATATTTTTCTAAAACCTCCTCCTAAGTCTGACAAATACTGTGCTTAAAACCGCATCAAAATCGGTTCACCCAAACACGAGACTATACATACAGGTCAAACAGAGAACCTCCTTTTTTGAAGTCGGTCAAAAATATTGATATGATGAGATCACATTTCATTCATGGTAGTTTGTGATTCCCCTATTACGAAGTCATTGCGTACCGAGCGTAGGAAAACAATCAACAATACTCCGACCTTTTCCTTGTTGCCCGCCGATACGCTTTTATTTTGCTAACTTTAATTTAGGACCTTATAGCCACATTACATAGGTGCTTATTACTATAATAAATGGCCACTGTGGTATTCACTTCATAAAAATATATGAAACGAATCTAATTTTTCGTCTTTGTTAAGTTACTTCTATTCAAGTTGTTATTTTATCTACAGAATTTACAACTCACTTAAGATTAATTTAGGTTATTTTAAGTTGAAATGTATTGTACGTTTTTATTTACTAAAGTCACAAAAAACATAATCAAAACTTACTTTGCACGTAGTTCGCAGCATTGAAGACGAAGCAGGTAATTATAATGAATAACCCGTTCTTCATGATGGCCGGTTTTCTACTGACCAATTGCTGATGGTTGTGATGTATTTTTTATATAAATACTTGTCGGTCTAGTGATGAGTATTTGTTTTTTTTATGTAGGTATTTAACAAAGACCTAGCAGGTGTGTAATATAGATAGGCAATCATTAGTGTTCACACGTATTATGGAAATTATTTCGTATATCCAAAACTATGTTTATAATTGTTTTTCCTGCAGTAATAATTAAAATTGTAAATGATAATAAGGCGGGTAACTGATGGCAGAACGGCATTGGTTGTAAAGGATTCGGTGATACGGTACAGAGCAGAAAAGCCAGACCTCTAGTAGTCCAACCTTCGAACATAACATGGAAAAAGTGGAAAAAGTGTCTATAAACACGTTGTATTCACTTAAACCGTCAAATTATATTATTGGTATGAATTTTGACTTCTACCCCTCAGTATATTAAGGTTTAACATCGAGTGAGAAAACCCGATAGTTTTGTACAGTCTGGCGTGCTTGTGTGACCAGTAGCGGCGTTAGGGTAGGGCGTGGTTGGGCGACCGCCCAGGGGCGCCGGACGAAAAAGGGGCTCGTCCGGCGCTTCTTTCTGATTCTGTATAATGAGGAAGTATTTTAAAAAACCAAAAGCACTACAAAAATACCTCCACCTAGATGGCGACTGTAGCAAAAGTTCATTTTTGCAGGAAACTAATGGAACAAAGACAGTCATTTCCGTTCATTTTAACTAACATATTAAAAAACTGAAATTTGAAAAGTTCGAAACTTAGATATCAATATAAATACGAAAAAGTACAAATAGAATATGAGTTGTTAATTGAGTCTTGAAAACTAATTTACTTTTAAACTTGAAAGAAAACTGGAAGGGTTGTCATGGAGAAATCAAGAACATACCGTAGCGACATCTAGTTTGATTTCGGGAACTAATTTTTTTTTCTAATACTTCCTCATTTCCCACAGACGCCCTCTTATAGTTCCCTTGCTCATTGAACAAGACCTACTGGGTCGGCGAAAAAGAACATTGAAGATTTTTTTTATTTTCAAGTTGCCTCACTTTTAGCATATATTTCTTGTAAAGGAAACTTAACAAGAAATATATTATATTATGGTAAAACAGAACAACATACCGATTACCTATATGAAGATATATATTTTATTAGGTTTGATTACTGTGTTTGTTTGTTTTAAAATAATCGAATAATTGTTTTAAGAGCGTCCACTTATGTCAAGCAAGAAGATAATTGTTGATTGTGTTCTTCTTCGTCAAAAATTAAAAGAGATAGATCTAGGGAATCCCCGATTATAGAAAAACACATTGTTTCTGTATGGTCGGAAAGTCAGGGCTTCCCGAGAAATTAAACCGATTGAACACTACGTTCCATTCTAATGCTTCCAACTTAACAATCTACCTAAATTTAGGAAAAATTACAAGTAATTAGGCCGAGTCGGCGAAAAAAAGACAAGTAACTGATTTGTAATTGAATTGCAGTTAGAGGGCGCCGAAGAAATTTCGCCCAGGGCGCTAGTAGTGCTAAAACCGGCACTGTGTGTGACCAATCAATCTAAGTGGCAGCGCAAGACCTAAATTTAAAATGTGGACAGGAAAGAGTAGATCATTTTGCGTCGATAATTTTGATTGTACGATAAATGTCATATTTTTAATAAATTAATCATCAGCCTATTAATGTCCTGCTGGGGCACAGGTCTTCCATGAGGTTAGAATCGAATCAAATGGCCTCAAACCACGCCGGCCCAGTGCGGTATGGTGGGTGTTAACGAATGCAGATGCAGCCAGGACGTTGGTCCGCCGCTGTGCCGTTGTTGTGGAAGGTACGTTAAGCCGTTGGGCTTAACATAAAAGTCGCGCGATTTACTTGTGTAAGTAAATAAACTTATAGGGTGAAGGAGAGGAAGTTGTGGAGGAAGTGACCCTTGATATATAATAGCTATTTACCGTATTTGTTTTGCCATAATGCAATATTTTGTTTCACGGTAAAGTACGGTAAATACATATCATTTGCCTATTTGTAACTAAGAAAGCCTTGAATTCCAAATTCCCCAAAAAAGGGGCAATGGTTAAAACCAGGTCTTATATAGAACCTAGGAATAATTGCAAGCAAAGAGGACCGTACCGTACCTCTAATTACACTGTTTTTATGTATTATCTATCCACTATACTAATACTTACTTACTTACCTTAGGAAAGAGTTAAGAATCGTCCCGTTTTCTACGTCATACGTAATGATAAAACAATATCATTGGCGTCAGTCGACGCTACTTAATATGGTGCGAACAAATGCTAAGTTGACGAAATAATTGAAATACTGTTAATATTGATTATAGGGCTAAATTGGATTTATTTTTAATAATTCACAGGGTTGAATAATTCAATATCGTTGAGCGTATTTTGATTGAAACCAATAATACCCACCAAATCGAAGCAAAGTAATGATGCGGTAGGCTTTCTGGTCGAAAATTTATATCTACTTGGACTTAATTTTTGGCTTGGACGCTTAACATCGAGTCGAGACTGTTTTTATAATCTTAGTTCAATAGTGTGTTATTTTTATTACTTAATATTTTACATAATTTTAAAACTGAAAATTGCGGTTCAAAAAGTAAAAAAAAATATAAATTCAAAGCTTAAACCTAAAAAAACACAAAAAACAAAAAAATATGAATACGATTTATTATCAAATTACATAATACATCATAAAGAAAAAGTGTGAATCATCGCACATGTATTATATTTTGACAACAATGGCGGCAAAACAAAAAAACAACTCCTATGTACTTTTAAATTATAGAAAATAATCATAAGATAAATAACATTGAGACAAGACTTGTATTGTCTTCTCTATAATATATCATCACATATTTAATATTATTTTTTTTGCGCTTGAGATGAATGTTAGTAAGAATAATCTTCACAGGTTTGATCTTCACATTCTGGCGAGTTGGCCATTTCTGGACATTCACAGATGGGTACGCAATATCTTGTATCATTTCGACGATATCCAGATTTGCATGTACAGCCAGGTTTAGGCGTTGCTTCATTTCTACATTCTTCTTTGGCAACTAAAGCTTTGCATGTGTCTGATGTTGGTTTTTCAAGAACAAATTCCTCATTGGGATCTTTACATGTTTGTTGTTGACAATCTAGCGAGTAGGCTATTTGTGGACATTGACAGATAGGTACGCAACTTCCTGTTTTTGTAAGTCGCTTATACCCAGACTTGCATGTGCAACCAGGCTTAGGTGGCGGTGCATTTATGCAATTATATCTTGCTACTAATGATATACATGTGTCTGGTACACATGTTGATTTCTCTTGGACAAATACCTCATTGGGATCTTTACATGTTTGTGGTTGGCATTCTGGTGAAGAGGCTAATTGTGGGCATTGACAGATGGGTACACAATTTGATGTTTCATTATGACGTAAATATCCTGATTTGCATCTGCATCCGGGTTTAGGAGGCGGTGCTTTTGTACAATCATATTTTGATACTATAGATTCACATAGATCCGGTGGACAAGTCGATTTCTCTTGTAAGAATTCCTCATTTGGATCTTTACATGTTTGTGGTTGACATTCTGGTGAATAAGCCATTTCTGGACACTTACATATCGGTACACATATGCCTGTCTTATCTAATCGTCGATATCCAGATTTGCATGTGCAGCCAGGTTTAGGTGATGATGCATTTGTACAATTATATCTAGCCACTAAAGCATTACAAGTGTCTGGTGGACATGTTGATTTCTCTTGGACAAATTCCTCATTTGGATCTTTACATTTTTGTGGTTGGCATTCTGGTGAAGAGGCTAATTGTGGGCATTGACAGATGGGTACACAATTTGATGTTTCATTATAACGTAAATATCCTGATTTGCATCTGCATCCGGGTTTAGGAGGAGGTGCTTTTGTGCAATTAAATCTTGCTACTATTGATATACATAGATCTGGTGGACATGTCGATTTCTCTTGTAAGAATTCTTCGTTGGGGTCTTTACATGTTTTTATTTGACATTCTGGTGAATTAGCCATTTCTGGACACTCACATATCGGTACACATATTCCTGTCTTATCTAATCGTCGATATCCTGATTTGCATGTGCAGCCAGGTTTAGGGGATGGTGCATTTGTACAATTATATCTAGCTACTAAAGCATTACAAGTGTCTGGTGGACATGTTGATTTCTCTTGGACGAATTCCTCATTTGGATCTTTACATGTTTGAGGTTGGCATTCTGGTGAAGAGGCTAATTGTGGGCATTGACAGATGGGTACACAATTTGATGTTTCATTATGACGTAGATATCCTGATTTGCATCTGCATCCGGGTTTAGGAGGCGGTGCTTTTGTACAATCATATTTTGATACTATCGATTCACATAGATCCGGTGGACATGTCAATTTCTCTTGCAAGAATTCTTCATAGGGGTCCTTGCATGTTTGTGGTTGACATTCTGGTGAATTAGCCATTTCTGGACACTCACATATCGGTACACATATTCCTGTCTTATCTAATCGTCGATATCCAGATTTGCATGTGCAGCCAGGTTTAGATGATGGTGCATTTGTACAATTATATCTAGCTACTAAAGCATTACAAGTGTCTGGTGGACATGTTGATTTCTCTTGGACAAATTCCTCATTTGGATCTTTACATGTTTGTGGTTGGCATTCTGGTGAAGAGGCTAATTGTGGGCATTGACAGATGGGTACACAATTTGATGTTTCATTATGACGTAGATATCCCGATTTGCACCTGCATCCGGGTTTAGGAGGCGGTGCTTTTGTACAATCATATTTTGATACTATAGATTCACATAGATCCGGTGGACAAGTCGATTTCTCTTGTAAGAATTCCTCATTTGGATCTTTACATGTTTGTGGTTGACATTCTGGTGAATAAGCCATTTCTGGACACTTACATATCGGTACACATATGCCTGTCTTATCTAATCGTCGATATCCAGATTTGCATGTGCAGCCAGGTTTAGGGGATGGTGCATTTGTACAATTATATCTTGCCACTAAAGCATTACAAGTGTCTGGTGGACATGTTGATTTCTCTTGGACAAATTCCTCATTTGGATCTTTACATTTTTGTGGTTGGCATTCTGGTGAAGAGGCTAATTGTGGGCATTGACAGATGGGTACACAATTTGATGTTTCATTATAACGTAAATATCCTGATTTGCATCTGCATCCGGGTTTAGGAGGAGGTGCTTTTGTGCAATTAAATCTTGCTACTATTGATATACATAGATCTGGTGGACATGTCGATTTCTCTTGTAAGAATTCTTCGTTGGGGTCTTTACATGTTTTTATTTGACATTTTGGTGAATTAGCCATTTCTGGACACTCACATATCGGTACACATATTCCTGTCTTATCTAATCGTCGATATCCTGATTTGCATGTGCAGCCAGGTTTATCGATTTCTCTTGTAAGAATTCTTCGTTGGGGTCTTTACATGTTTTTATTTGACATTTTGGTGAATTAGCCATTTCTGGACACTCACATATCGGTACACATATTCCTGTCTTATCTAATCGTCGATATCCTGATTTGCATGTGCAGCCAGGTTTAGGGGATGGTGCATTTGTACAATTATATCTAGCTACTAAAGCATTACAAGTGTCTGGTGGACATGTTGATTTCTCTTGGACGAATTCCTCATTTGGATCTTTACATGTTTGAGGTTGGCATTCTGGTGAAGAGGCTAATTGTGGGCATTGACAGATGGGTACACAATTTGATGTTTCATTATGACGTAGATATCCTGATTTGCACCTGCATCCGGGTCTAGGAGGCGGTGCTTTTGTACAATCATATTTTGATACTATAGATTCACATAGATCCGGTGGACAAGTCGATTTCTCTTGTAAGAATTCCTCATTTGGATCTTTACATGTTTGTGGTTGACATTCTGCTGAAGAGGCTAATTGTGGGCATTGACAGATAGGTACACAATTTGATGTTTCATTATAACGTAAATATCCTGATTTGCACCTGCATCCGGGCTTAGGAGGCGGTGCTTTTCTACAATCATAATCTGATACTATAGATTCACATAGATCTGGTGGACATGTCGATTTCTCTTGTAAGAATTCTTCGTTGGGGTCTTTACATGTTTTTATTTGACATTCTGGTGAATTAGCCATTTCTGGACACTCACATATCGGTACACATATTCCTGTCTTATCTAATCGTCGATATCCTGATTTGCATGTGCAGCCAGGTTTAGGGGATGGTGCATTTGTACAATTATATCTAGCTACTAAAGCATTACAAGTGTCTGGTGGACATGTTGATTTCTCTTGGACGAATTCCTCATTTGGATCTTTACATGTTTGAGGTTGGCATTCTGGTGAAGAGGCTAATTGTGGGCATTGACAGATGGGTACACAATTTGATGTTTCATTATGACGTAGATATCCTGATTTGCATCTGCATCCGGGTTTAGGAGGCGGTGCTTTTGTACAATCATATTTTGATACTATCGATTCACATAGATCCGGTGGACATGTCAATTTCTCTTGCAAGAATTCTTCATTGGGGTCCTTGCATGTTTGTGGTTGACATTGTGGCGAATGGGCCATTTGCGGACACTTACAAGTGGGCACACAGCGCGAAGTTTTGTTGAGTCGAAGATACCCGGCCTTGCATTGGCAACCTGGCTTAGGAGGTAATGCTGTTGAACAGTCATATCTTGCGACTAAAGATACACATAGGTCTGGCGGACATGTCAATTTCTTCTGGACGAATTCCTCATTAGGGTCCTTACAAGTTAGCTTTATTGGCTTCACTGGTATGCATCTTTTCGGCTGAATCGTGCGCACTATATCTGAAACAATACGTTAGTTATATTAAAATAAGAAGTCACATCAGTAATTTCGTATATAATAAGAATAATTATTAATTCGCAAATGACATTGTTCCAAAGGTAAGTATTACCACAGATATTATTTTACTACGCTTAGTAGTAATACACTACATTTAAAGATAATATAATTATTGAACATTTGATATATATATTTTTTCTACTATTATTTCGTATACATCATTATTTAGTTAGGTTCTTACGTTAACATTTTTTATTTTATGTTTATTTCTCAGTTCTGCCATTCGAGCTGGATTGAGACCAGGAGTGAGCCCATTATAATAATAATATACTTTATTGCACACAACAGAACAAAAACAAGTTACAGAGAATCACAAAAAAGTATACAAAAGGCGGCCTTATTGCGAAGCAGCAATCTCTTCCAGGTAACCTATGGAGAACAAAAGATAAAAAGGGTAAAGATTATATGGGGTATTGAGTGCAACGATAGGAAGAAAACAAGATATATCATAATGAAAACTATATATAAGGAGATAGAATTAAAATAAGGAAAGAAAATGGCTTTTAACTCTATCGCCAAAAGAACTAAGTGAGCGAGATTTCCTGACATTCTCCGGAAACCGCACAGTATGCAGAGATAAGGAATAGGAGAAAAAGTCAGTGCAATGACGAGGAATGTCCAAGGCGAGATTAGAAGAGGATCGTAAGGTACACTAAGACTTTAAAGTTTAATGTATGTAGTCCCTGCGCCGGCGCATTAGGAGAAACCAGTTGAGTTTGGAACGGAAATGCGACACATGGTCAAATTTACGGAGATTTAAAATGAATTTGATGTAAACATTCTGTAGACGCTCCAATTTATTAAGAAGTTCTTCCGACAAATCCGTATAACAGACATCCGCGTAATCTGTAATGGATAAAAGTAGAGAATGTGCCAAGGAGATCTTGTTTGAGTAGGCAGAAATTTGCGCAAGCGATTATGTGACCCATATGTGGCAAATAGGTCACTTAATTGCTTGCGCAAATTCGCTTTCTAACCGCCTCTACCTGTGGATTCCAAGTGAGACCTTGATCCAAGATAACTCCAAGATTCTTTACAGTTTTAGACATATATACAGTACCATTAAAGGTTATTGTAACTCAAGATCGATCCTAGAAATTAAATGAGAACTGCCAATTAAAATAACTTGAGATTTAGTCGGGTTAACGGTAAGACCATATGAATTAATCCAATCACTCGTAAGGGTCAAGTCCGAGTTGACAACCGATACTGCCTCTGAAACATGCGACAAGGGTGCTTGTGTGTAAATTTGTAGGTCGTCAGCGTAAAGGTGATAGGAACAAGAAAGCATTCCTGTTATGGCATTTATAAATATAGAAAAGATAAGACGCTGAGGAACACCGGCATTAATATCGCACCACGCAGAGACCCTATCGTCAATACGGATATGTTGTCGGCGTCCTAGCAGGTAACTTCGAAACCAATCAATTAAAGCTGGAGATATATTGAGAGATGCCAAGACACTGAGAAGAATGTCAAAATCAACCAAGTTAAAGGCATTATCAAAATCTAGCAACGCCAACAAGGTAAGCTGACGATTTGCCATTCCCCGCCGAATGTCATCAGTAATCTTAACCAGTGCAGTAGCAGTGCTATGGCCGTACGGGAACCGGATTAAGAAAGTGATTTGAATTGAGAAAGGTCATTAATTGCTAGTTTACGAGTTTTTTCAAGGACTTTGAAGAGAAATGGAAGGATTCAGAAAACGAGGAGGGGTTCGACGTTTCCGGAAGAGGAATAACGTTTGTATCTTTCCAAGATGAAGGAAAAACTCCTGTCAAGATTGAGGTTATAACGATCTTGGTAATTATGGGATTCAGGATGTCTATTATAGGAAGGATCATTTTGCGACTAATTGAATCACTACCCACTGCACTGGAATTGATTGACAAAATTGTTTTCTCATTATCACAGTCTGCTAATTGATGAAAGAAAAAGGGACAACCATGAGACTTGAAAGAGGAAGTAATGTTACCGCTTTATGGTTGCCATCAATAGGGGCCGAAGTTGAGAAATGACTGTTCGATATTAATATTAGAGATGGTTTTATTGGGAGATATACCAACGCCAAGCGATTTCGGGAATTTCCACACTTTTCCAAGGTCTTGATTATTTATTTCGTTAATATAACGTCTTTTATCGTCCCTAACCACCAAGTTGCACCGATTTCTGGTACTGTTATATTAAGGCCATTATCATTTGTGGGATCAGATCTGAATTTCGCCTTGGCCCTGGTCTCTCTCGCTATCAATCCCTTAATCTCTTTTGTTAACCAGGGAGCAGGTAGGCTTTTGATTTTAATAGGCCATGCACGTCACGGAGCGTGCACGTCATAGAGATCTTTAAGATTTTTATTAAAAAAGTACAACTTGCTCATCCTTACTTATCCATTTTGCCTAAAAAATAGCGCTTGATTCGTTTAAGTAAAAGGTTAAAATCGGTTGCTGAATTTGTATATTTTGTAGTAACTTGCGTGATGTTGTTCATGACGTTTATATGACTCCGTGATTCGTGACTTTAGTTATCGCAAAATGCTATGTAAGTTGCTGACTTATAAGTACTAATTTAAAATGACGGGAAAAGGTTTCAAACTTTTGGGAGTCCCTATTTTGGACGTGGATTACGGTCTATTTTTTGTTGAACACACCTAGTTGACATATAAACCCTAATATCAATCTTAACTTTAACTAAAATAATGGTGCAATCGAGTTTTGTTAACTAATCGATTACTGTTATGCCTCAAAATCCTTTTTTTTGGGAAAATAAAAAATATGATTGCGAAAAACAGTTATAAATTTGTTTGCCATTTTTATGGATTTTGGCTTTGTGGTTCATTGGTTCTTTCAATTTTTTTTGAGTAGCTCTTCTCTTCAGTCAGTTTTCTTTGGATTTATTAAAGAGTATGTTGTTAAAAATATCAATCTGTTTATACAGTTAAAGTCAATTTCAGAGTAAGCAACTTATTTGTTGTCAGTTTCATTATGCTCATATATTAGCGCAGCTGTGGGGGAAAAACAATAAAACAATATGAATACTAGTCTGGTAATACAGTAATTTGTTTAATCAAACATAAATTATTATATTATCTTTAAAAACTTTGTCACATTCAAAAAGCGTATAAGGGTGAATTTAACTTTCCTACATCTTTGTGGTTCATTAAAAATTACATTTAATTTTATGACCACGAAACGATTGAAATGATTATATTTTCAAATCTTTAACCCAATCAAAATTTTAAAAATTGAAATTTTGATTTCTGAGTTTGGCGAAGTAATGATTTTAAATGTAGGTATAGCTGTAGCATATTGTGAAATTATTACACTGTGTCTGTTTACTGTAGAGGTTATTAACCTCTAATAAATTAAATAATATGCACTTGTACTATGCGGTACTTAATGAGTCACATATTATGAAGACTGAAATTTCAGATTTATATCCTAAGTATTA